CCCAAACCTAAAACTGGATTTTCCTCAGATTGCCACAACCTTCGCCAAATCGAGGCTGCAACCTAGGGTACCAGAGTGGCCCAGGGCAACTTGCCCGTCCGAGCCAAAAAAAAAAAAAAAAAAAAGAAAAAAAAAAACGTTTGACCCACAACCTTACACCAAAAAAAAAAAAAAAAAAAAAAAAAAAAAAAAAAAAAAAAAAAAAAAAAAAAAAAAAAAAAAACAACGTTGTCCTTGGAGGCACGGCGATGCGGGGAATACAGTCTCAAAGTGGCTGTGCTCACGCTGGTACCTACAACAATGAATCTAACCACTATAGAGGTCAGTTTCTCAATTCGTTTTTTTATTTCCGTTTTTGTTCTTTTCCGTTTTCTTTTAGCCCCTGCCAGCTAGGCAGGGTGTATCCCATGATCTGCTCACCTGCCCTCGTTGAAGACAAGCTCACACCTACAGCGTTTTTTTTTCATTCTTTTACTACATTCCGACAACAACGCGCCATTCCTCTTTGTTTTTTTTCTGTCTTCTTGTTCTTTCTTTTTTTTTTTTTTTAGGTCTTCTTGTTCTTTATAGAAAACAACGCGATGTTCCTCTTTGTTTTTTTTTTGTCTTCTTGTTCTCTCTTTCTTTTTTTTTTTTTTAGGTCTTCTTGTTCTTTATAGATTTGGTCTACACACACGTTAACAGGTCTCATACGCCCTCATGAAGGGCATCGCAGAGTTGTTTCATTTTTTATTTTTCTTTTTTTTTTCTCTTGAATCTGGTTCCCCAAGGCTCGACCCGTCCAGCTACCGGTACCTCCAGGCTCAGCGTACCAGTCGCCTGAGGCTGGACTGCATAGCTGGGCGAGGAGGTACTGGTCATTTAATATAACAATACAACATAACCCCCCCCTTTAACCCCCACCACCCCCCGCACCCAACAACCTGCCTCCTGTGAGTTAGGCCCAGGTTTTCCGGAAGAGGGTGGCAACCGTCGCTTACTGCCAGGTCCAGTCCCGCAATTAAAACATACCCTAACTTCGGCAGTTTCTCACGCTTCAACTAATAATCAGAAAATTATCTGAAATTTTGTGGTCCCTACCGTAGGTCGTGATCATTCTATAAAAAAAATCCGAAAAAAAAAAACGAAAACAAAAAAAACGTTTTGCCCTAGGCTACCAGCCGGGGCCGCCTGGGTAACGGGTGGGCAGATCGTGCAAGGACCAGGGAAGGTCCCAGCCAAAAAAAAAAGAAAAAAATAATTCACACAAAACAAACTATGTTATGGCAAAAATTCAACTGTACAACTTTCTTTTTTCTTTTTTTTTTTTTTTTTAAATACTCTTATCTCAAATTTTCCTCACACTACCTACCTACCACTACTACTACCTGTAGGCATACCGGGAAACCCGTTGCATACCACAGCCGTGTTTTCATGGCCCCTCGAGCCTGCAGGATACCGGCCAGGGGACGGCTGGTAGCACCAGGGATAAAGCAGACCAATCCCCCGTGCCTCCCCTCAGGCCCCTCCCCTACGAACATAGCAGACTCTGCTTGATGCCGATCGGGGGATCCAGTGGTCCATCTCTTGGGTAGCGGGTGCCAAGTAACTTTTGTCTCGAGATTCTTCACATCGAGATTCTTCACATCGAGATTCTTCACCAACTTCAAAATAAAAAATAGATGTTAAAAATAATACCTTTCCTTTTTATATTTTTTTAATGTTTTTGGCCCGGCCAGGCAAGTGACCCCGTGCCACACTGGTAGCCTAGGTTTTGTCCCTGAAATATTTGCCTCGCTGATTCGGTGCATTTTCCATTTTTGCCAGTCTGCGACTTGTAGGCCCACAAAAAAAGTACCTCAAGTTCCTTCAGTGATTTTTCAAGCTCAGAAGAATGCGTTGAAAATCCTGAAAATTGGAGGACCTGTAGATTAGATCCCGACCTTTCCAGGAAAAAATAGCAATATCAAATTATATAAATATTATATAAAATACTATATAAATATTATATAAATATTATATAAATATTATATATATGAGCTGCCCGGTAAACCAATAGGCAGAGAGGGAGAAAAGGACCAAAAAAAAAAAAACAAAAAAAAAACGAGGGGCTGTGACACCGTGCACCGTGAACCACTGCCGTCTTTCCCCGAACATACCACATATGCATTCTACCGCAAACGAAAAAAAAAAAAAAAAAAAAAAAAAAAAAAAAAAAAAAAAAAA